ACATCGGTCCCTCTACCGGTCCAAACATCTGTCCCTCTACCGGTCCAAACATCTGTCCCTCTACCGGTCCAAACATCTGTCCCTCTACCGGTCCAAACATCGGTCCCTCTACCGGTCCAAACATCGGTCCCTCTACCGGTCCAAACATCTGTTTCTACCGGTCCAAACATCTGTCCTTCTACCGGTCCAAACATCTGTCCTTCTACCGGTCCAAACATCTGTCCTTCTACCGGTCCAAACATCTGTCCTTCTACCAGTCCAAACAGCTGTCCTTCTACCAGTCCAAACATCTGTCCTTCTACCGGTCCAAACATCTGTCCTTCTACCAGTCCAAACAGCTGTCCCTCTACCGGTCCAAACATCTGTCCTTCTACCAGTCCAAACATCTGTCCTACCAGTCAAAACAGCTGTCCTTCTACCGGTCCAAACATCTGTCCTTCTACCGGTCCAAACATCTGTCCTACCAGTCCAAACAGCTGTCCCTCTACCAGTCCAAACATCTGTCCCTCTACCAGTCCAAACATCTGTCCTTCTACCAGTCAAAACATCTGTCCTACCAGTCCAAACATCTGTCCTTCTACCGGTCCAAACATCGGTCCTTCTACCGGTCCAAACATCGGTCCTTCTACCGGTCCAAACATCTGTCCTTCTACCGGTCCAAACATCTGTCCTTCTACCAGTCAAAACAGCTGTCCTTCTACCAGTCCAAACATCTGTCCCTCTACCAGTCCAAACATCTGTCCTTCTACCGGTCCAAACATCTGTCCTTCTACCAGTCCAAACAGCTGTCCCTCTACCGGTCCAAACATCTGTCCTACCAGTCAAAACAGCTGTCCTTCTACCAGTCCAAACATCTGTCCTTCTACCGGTCCAAACATCGGTCCTTCTACCGGTCCAAACATCGGTCCTTCTACCGGTCCAAACATCTGTCCTTCTACCGGTCCAAACAGCTGTCCTTCTACCGGTCCAAACAGCTGTCCTTCTACCGGTCCAAACATCTGTCCTTCTACCGGTCCAAACAGCTGTCCTCTAAGCACCAGAACCACAGAACCCAAACCAGGGTCCAGGTAGACTCACGGACCGGACTGGGCGGCGCAGCTGGAATGGTAGCTCCTGCAGCAGCCCTTCTGGAAGCAGCCCATTATCGCCCCCTTCTGGTGGCAGTTGGAACACATCTGAGGACAGAAGAACCAGAACCAGCTCAAGACAACAACCAGAACCCACAGGACTCCCTGAGCCTCTTGGTTCTGGAGGACCTGCTTCAAGCAGACAGCTGAAACAGTCATGGAACCAGAACCTCTGAGGACAAACCYGGTCCTCTGAGCCGCTCACCGTTTCCTGTGCGAGCCGGGCCGCCTCCTCCAACCCGTACAGCTTTCCTCGGACCAGGAAGACCCCGGTGGCCCAGATGCTGCAGTCCTCGTGGATCCAGCACTCGTCCAGAAGAGGAGGGTCCTCAGGGAGACAGAGTCCGTCTGTCCCAAAGACCGTCTTCTCAGCGCCACCGTCTTCTTCAGAGTTCTGCAAACAGCCGTTAGACGGTCTGTGAGAGTCCTCATCTGGTTCAGTTCTGCAGGTCTGACCCTTCACACGTGTCCCTGTGGTGGGACAGTAGGGTCCGTAGAGGTCCCCCAGGCCCAGGACGTTAGCCGTCCGTCCACAGAGACAGCACCGCAGCTCAGCCTGACAGCTGGCATCAGAACCGGGCCGACCCAGCTGGAAGCAGGACGTGCAGGGGACAAAGCCGGACAGAGTCTGGGTCTTTGGACCCCGGCTGTTCTGGACGGTGGACTCCTGGTCCTGATAGTTGACCACCCTGCAGGCCCGCTGGTCCATGTGGACAAACGGACAGAACCCGTCCGCTCTCCTGTCCTTCCTCTGCTCTTTAGTCTTCAGGTATTTCAGCAGAATCTCTGGTTCTGTTGGAGGAAACAGAGCCGGGGGTCCGGTGGTCCGGAGCTTCCTCCTCCTGCGTCTCACAGCTTTAGGTTTCTGCTGCGGCCCGGTTCTGTGAACCCAGTTCTGCTTGGTTCTGCTGAGGGGTTTAGTGGAAGGAGCTGCGAGGGCCTTCTTCTTCTTCTGTTTGTGGCGAGTGGTCCTGGAGGACTTCTGGTCCCTCACAGGAGACTTCCTGTTGGTCCGAACCTCCAGGTCCGACTGGTCTGAAGCGGTCCTGCGGGTCTGTGGTGGGACGGGGTGAGAGGCGGACTCCTCGGAGCTGGAGAACCTCTCAGCCAGYTCCATCAGGTGGTCCGAGTCACAGTTCTCGTTGTAGATGCCCACCGCCTCGTTCTTCACGCGTCTCTTCAGGTGGCGCCGGGTGGTCTCGCAGGACAGCCGGGTCGGTTCTGGAGCGGACCTTCTCCTGGAACTGTGACGGACTGGTTTCAGGGAGGACTTTTGTGTCTCGCTCCGAGGAGGACTGGGGTCTGGGACAGAGACCTCCACCACGTCGCTGTCCTCGCTCGAGACATCCACCTCGGACTGGACCACGTTCCCGTAGACCGCCTTCAGGTCTGACAGGAGGACCACGGGTCTGGTGTGGTGCACGGGGATGTCCACGGAGCTGTCCGAGGACTCCTCTGAGTACGAGCTGTCTGGACTGGGAGAGCTGAGGGGCTGAGGCAGCAGGTAACACCCCCCCCTGTCCTCGTCCAGCGAGGACACGGCGGGGGACAGAGGCTCCAGGTGTCCCACACCGTCCTGGAGGAAGGACCCGCACAGGAGCGGCTCCTTGGACGAGGACACCAGGAAGATGACGTCAGAGCCGCTGTCGCTGTCCTCCCCACCGCTGCTCTCAGGGGGGGGGCTGCCGCTCTGGTCCGTCCCACAGAAACCGGAGTGCCACAGTCCCCCGTGGACCCGCTCGTGGAACAGGTCCAGTCCTGGGGCCAGGCTGGAACTCATGTAGCTCCCCAGAGACTCCTGTCTCTGGTCCACGTCCCTGCAGTGGAYGGGGGCCGCCGGCGAGCTGTAGGACCCTGAAGATCTGGACCTGAAGCTGGAGGACACATCTGGACTGCAGCTGGGGGGACGGCGGTGGTACCACTCAGGCTTCTTGGACAGGTCCATGGACTCTGGGTGGCTGCAGGACCGAGGACTGTAGGTCTTTGACAAGTCCATGGCCACGAGGAGGGGGTCCTGAGGGGACCGGTCCATCACTGCACAGACACACACAGACACACACAGACACACACAGACACACACAGAC